ACAAATGGAAGAACATTCCATGCTCATGGATAGCAAGAATCAATATCATGAAAATGGCCATACTGCCCAAGGTAATTTATAGATTCAATGCCATCCCCATCAAGCTACCGATGACTTTCTTCACAGAACTGAAAAAACTGCTTTAAAGTTCACATGGCTCAGAGAATGTTTAGGTCAGCAAAATTACCCTATATGACACTGTAATGGTAGATACATGTCACTATACAGTTGTCTGAACCCACAGAATATACAATATCAAGTGAACCCTTATGTAAACTGTGGACTGCAGGTGATAATGATGTGTCCGTGTAGGTTTCATCAATTATAACAAACGTTCCTCTACTGGGGAATGTTCATATGGGAAGAGGCCATGCATGTGTGCAGGGGATATAATGGGAGATCTCTGTACTTTGCTCACAATTTTGCTGTGAATCTAAAACTGTTCTAAAAAATAAAGTGTACTGGCCGGGCGCGGTGGCTCACGCCTGTAATTCCAGCACTTTGGGAGGCCAAGGCGGGCGGATCACGAGGTCAGGAGATCGAGACCATCCTGGCTAACACGGTGAAACCCCGTCTCTACTAAAAATACAAAAAATTAGCTGGGCGCGGTGGCTCACGCTTGTAATCCCAACACTTTGGGAGGCTGAGGCAGGCAGGTCACGAGGTCAGGAGATCGAGACCATCCTGGCTAACACGGTGAAACCCCGTCTCTACTAAAAATACAAAAAATTAGCTGGGCGAGGTGGCGGGCGCCTGTAGTCCCAGCTACTCGGGAGGCTGAGGCAGGAGAATGGCGTGAACCTGGGAGGCAGAGCTTGCAGTGAGTCGAGATCACGCCACTGCACTCCAGCCTGGGCGATAGAGCAAGACTCCGTCTAAAAAAAAAATAAATAAAGTATACTTCTAAAGAAAGGACTCAATTCTTAATAAAACTAATAAAGTATGTGTGGGACATCTAAATAGACACTACTGCAAAGAAGAAAAAAGAAGGCAAATAAGCACATTTAAAAAATGTTCAATTTCATTAATCATTAGAGAAATAAAAGTTAAAACCTCAACAAGATACCACTATATAGTTATTAGAAAACATAAAATTAACACGATTGCATACCAAGTGTCAGAAGGATATGGGGAAACTGGAGCTCTCATCCCTGCCGTAGTGGCCAACCGTAAAATGGTCCAACCACTTTGGAAACCAGGTGGGCGGTTTCGCAGTTAATCATACACCTGACAACACAATCCAGACATTCCACTTCTGGCTATTTACCCGAGAGACAGGGAAGCACATGGTCACGCAGAGACTTTTACACAAGTGTCCACAGCAATTTGTAGTGGTCAAAACCTGGCAATAACCTAAATGTCTTTAACTGGTAGGTGCATGAACCAACTGGGAATATCCATTTGAAAGAATACTTCCCAGCAAAAAGAAGCAATCACCTACTAATCCAGTCAACAACAAAACAGTTATGCCAGACCAAAGGAAAGTGATATTGCATAATCGACTCCATTTACATCAAATTTGTAAAACTGCACACTAATCTGTAGTGACAGGAAGCAAATCAGTGGTTGCCTGGGGAGGGGTAGAGGAAGCATGGCGGGGGTGGCTGTGATGGCTGTGTTTGGTATCATGATTGTGGTAGTTTCATGGGTGTATAAATATGTTAAACCTTACCAAATGTACACTTAGAATGCCTAATTTATGGTATGTAAATTCTACTTCCATACAGGCAGGGGTGTCACCCTCTGCACGTCACGCCTCACCCAACTCACCTGCCCCCATGACGTGACACTGAATGATGAGCTTCAATCCCATTCATGCTTTCCCACCATCTCCATGCTCCTCTGAACCCACAAAAATCCCTGCGCTTCAGCTTTACATACCCCCAAGCTTTATACACATGGTATCACCTTGCACAAATTTGGAAATATGCTTTTATAAACATTATAATTTTAAAATTTATTCTTGTTGGAATATGTAGGCCTAGCTCACTGTAACAGCTCTGGTACTCACTGTGTGAATATAACACAATGTATTTATTCTGGTGACAAATATTTTAGCATGTCTTTTTAATTAGCAGTTTCAGTTATATTAAGGGTAAAAACAGCACTTGAATCAGACATACTAGGACATGCACTGTATGTTTATTATGACATTAAAAATAATCTAGAAATGTAACTTACACAACTTAACACAAGAGCTGTAGTATTCAAAGTAAAATCATTCAAACAATCTTGAGTTAAATTTTTAAAAAGATAAAATTAAATATTCATCAAGTATCTGCTGTGTGTCTGAGTCTCTGCTAGGTATTTTGGGCACAAGATTTAAACATAAGATGAAGCCAGGCATGGTGGCTCACACCTGTAATCTCAGGACTTCAGGAGACTAAGGCGGGCAGATCACTTGAGGTCAGGAGTTTGAGACCAGCCCTGCCAACGTGGTAAAACCTCGTCTCTACTAAAAATACAAAAAATTAGCTGGGTGTGGTGGTGCATGCTTGTAATGCCCAGCTACTTGGGAGGCTGAGGTAGGAGAACTGCTTCAACACAGGAGGCAGAGGTTGCGGTGAGCTGAGATGGCACCACTGCACTCCAGCCTTGGCGACAGAGTGAGATTCCATCTCAAAAATAAATTCATTCATTCATTCATTCATTCAATTTAAATAAAAAACAAAACAAAACAAAACAAAAAAACAAAGTAAGATGAGAACTTTAATCCTGTGGACCTATTTATGACATGTTCATCCTCTTAAGAACTACAACTAATGCAATAACTTGCTAACAATATTCTTATCACACAGGTTCTTACAAAGGCATGTACATCTCTGTCCAAAAATCGAGTGAAAAAAAGACAAAATGAGAAACTAAAGAGCTGAGTGCAAATGGATAAAAGGTAAGTCATAAAGAAGGCAGGAGGAGATGGGACAAAATAGGTGACGAGGCTGCCCTGGATCGCCTATGGGCAGGTGGGCTCTGTTGAGTAACCACACAGAGCAATTTAATATCCTCATGGTTGGTGGAAACCACTTCTTGCCAGTAACAATCAACTGAGAAATCATCCCAGTGGGGCAGCAGCATTTGCAAGGTCTGTCCTAAAAGGAATAACTAAACCTGGAACTCCTAATCATAACCAAAAAGACTTCAGAGTATAAACAGGGACAAGAATGCTGCTGGCCTTTCAAAGATGGGGCCCAATTCAGCTGGCACAGACAACAGCTTCTGTTCTGCATGGTGACACCAGGGAGCACGGCGCCATTCTGGGAGATGGCAGTGCCACTCTCAGAACTCACAGTCAATGGTAATCATGTTTGCCAGTTTCTTCACTGTCTCCAATAATTTAATAACCCACGATATCTGTCTAAAAACAGAGAAATAGAGAACTTGTATTTGTGAAAAGAAAATCCAACTAAGCTCTAAGGTAAGATGCTTACCTTTTTATACTACTGTAAAGTCAAATCCACACAAGAACAAAAACACCTGCATGAACTGTCGCCAGTGCAGTTAAGCCAGGGACAATGTGGAAACCCTTCTATGTGAGCAGAGGCAGTGGACTTAAAGGAGACTTTAAGTCAGGCTTAGCAATGTCCAATCACTCAAAAACTATGTAGGGGGCATCGTCAACACTTAATGCTTAAACACTGTTTGATGTTGCCAAATTTCAAAGAAACAACTTCACTCACAACATAAGTTTTTTTTTTTTTTTTTTTTTTTTTGAGACGGAGTCTAGCTCTATCGCCAGGCTGGACTGCAAGGGTGCGATCTCAGTTCACGGCAACCTCCACCTCCCGGGTTCAAGCGATTTCCCTGCCTCAGCCTCTCAAGTACCTGGGATTACAAGCACGCACCGCCACGCCCAGCTAATTTTTTGTATTTTACTGGAGATGGGATTTCACCATGTTGGCCAAGACAGTCTCAATCTCCTGACCTTGTGATCCTTCCACTTCGACCTCCAGAAGTGCTGGGAATATAGGTGGCCCACACCTGGCCCACAACATAATTTTAAGAAAAACTGCAATAATTATTTCATCAAAACATAAACAGGAAGTTGCAATTTGAAAGAAACACCTTTAGTGGCAAAGCTGTAATTAAAATGTGTTTTACTTTAACTATAAATGTTATTTTTATTTTGTTTTTCATGAATGAAAGAGCTATCTTTAAAATTCCCATTAAAAAGATTATTTTCTACTTCATATGGCCCAAAACTTGTTTGAGGTTTCATAATGGATCCAACTGGCATTCCCAGGACTATCAGGCGCTAGTCCAGAATTACTGGACCTGAGCAGAAAGCAACGGAGGCAAGAGAACAATCTGACTTGCCATCAAGGACCTTAATGTTTGATGGCTATAGATTTAAAGGTTCACACTGAGAAGACAAATACTCTAAGGACAAGCATTATTAATTTAAAATTGTCATTTACTTACATCTTAGCACTTCCACAATCAAGTCCACATCAGTGCTGAGCTTCTTGATGTGGTCGAGGTTAGCCACCGTTGTGATTGGCACATACTGGTCACTGTCCATCTGTGATATAAGATACATGTCACTAGCAAGGTTCTCCCTGTTGAAAGAAAACAATCTCCTTTAATCAATATTTCTTTAAAAAGAAGTTTCACCTACTGCAATTCCAGTTTCACAAGAGGCATGAGTGTGGCATGGTATTGCTTTGGAGTTAAATCGGAGCCCAGGACCCATCTGTTATTTGCTGTCTCTCCGGCCTCAGTTAAATTTTTTCAAAATCTCAGTCTTGAAGAGGCAGGGAGTGCAAAAGTAAAAGTATATTGCACTTTCTACAATCAAAATTCATGAGAAGATGGTTATTTTTAATTAAGATGTAATTATTTGTAGCTGTCATTTTTGCCCTAAGAAGTATTTGAGGAGTTTATTAAAAATACATACAATTTTGTTAGGCTAGGCACGGTGGCTCACGCCTGGAATCCCAGCACTTTGGGGGGCCAAGGTAGGCAGATCACCCGGGCTCAGAAGTTTAAGACCAGCCTGACCAACATGGTGAAACCCTGTCTCTACCAAAAATACAAAAATTAGCCAAGCATGGTGGCAGGCACCTGTAATTCCAGCTACTTGGGAGGCTCAGGCAGGAGAATCGCTTGAACCCAAGAGGTGGAGGTTACAGTGAGCCAAGATCGCACCACTGCACTCCAGCCTGGGTGACAAGAGTGAAACTCCGTCTCAAAAAAAAAAAAAAAAAAAAAAAAAAATTTAAAGTAAAGAAATCCAGCTGAATGAACAAGAAAGGAAAACATAAAAAGGCCAGGATAACGTCATTCACAAAATTCCTCCTGTAGACTCTGGAACACTCACTAGAGAGCCTATATCCAGCCCTGGCTTCCTGGAAGCCAGAATTAAAAAGAAGGAAACAGTAACTTTACCCACAAAATCCAAAGGTGAGCCACAAATCATCAGCACTTTGGGCCATGATGAGCTATTTTCTGGTGTTTTGGTCAAAGATCAATGTTTCCTGTGAATTCTCAAGGCATCGTACAATGTAGTAAACAAGGTCCTAAGAAACATTTCAAAACTGAAAACAGTGCTGGGTTCCTGGGGCCTCTGCTCAGTGTCCCTCGGTGAAGGCCCATGACTGCCGATCAAACAGAGGCCATGCAGGAGGAGGCCCTGCTCCACCCTCATCTTGGCCACCTTCCAGCTGTAGCTGATTTTGGCCCCGTGGGGCTACAGAAGGGGGTGAGTGGCAGAGGGCTCACACTTGTGCCCCCAGGGTGCTCCACCAGTGCCCCAGCACCTCTTGCGTCTGCTGTGGCATGGTGCGGTATGCTCAGACTCCAAACGTGGAGCAGCATGGGCATGGGGAGGAGGCCAGCAGAGCCCCTCACACCTCCGCCTCATACAGCCACAGGCTTCAAGGAGCCCCTAGCAGACACCTGTGTGGAATCCTCAGGGCTCCAGAGAAAACACCTGGAAAATCACCATCGACAGAAAACCTTACACACGGCCAATCGGTTGTTGCCATACTCAGAGAAATTACATCAAACCCAATCCCACCTTCCTTTATGTCCAGTTCTGCCATTGGAACTTTAAAGGTTTTACTAAGAAAAAGGTATTATTCAGGGGGAAAAAAAATGATTAAAAATGAGTGTTATATAAATAAAACAACTTGCTATCTCAGTGTTTGGTGTGTTTTCAGAAACAACATGGCACATTTGTTCTCAAACTTCAGTGTGAAGAGTCTGATTCAGCAGCACAGGGCAGGCCAGGCCCTTCAGACGGCACTCCAGACAGTGACCACCAACACCACGGGGGCCCACTGACATGAAGGTTCCATTCCGTTCTCAAACGTCAAAAGATTGTTATTACTCAATATTCCACGTCTTAATATTCATATATATGGATATGAGTAGATACTCCTTCATAAAATACCCCATTTGTATATAATTTAACTATTTGCACGAGACTAGAAATATCAGGCATTAGAAAAAAACACCACCAGCCTTACCTAGATAAGCAGAATTCCAATGTTTTTTTAAGTACTTCCCGGGGGTCTTCCTGGCTTTCTGGTTGAGACTCATTTCCTCCTACAGAAAAGTAATAATCAACTTAGGAAAAACGGCTTAAAATTTAGGAAGCAGATAATTCAGTACAGCAGTTCTAGTGCTTTCAACTTACATTCTGACACAACTACATAAGTGTATATTGAGTATGAAAAATGCTACTTTACCTATCAAAAAAGTAAATCATGCAAAAAAATGTATTCCTTTATCCCCCAAAACAAAAACAGCACAATTTAGAAAAATAATCTAAGTCTCATGAGCAGAGTTTAGCACGGGCTTTTTCTACCAGAAATGACAAGTGTAAGTTTAGCTAATGCCTTGTCTCACTGCAAAAAGAATTTTCAAGTAACCTACACAAACACAAACACTAAACAATAATAAAATATAGAGGAAAAAATTAAAACAACAACGACAAAGATAACTGGCAAACAACCAAGGCTGGAGATCATAAACAGACAGGCTCTACAACACTAGACAGTTTCTACAACAGAGGCTTCAATTTGCCTTTCAACTTCCAGAGTAGAAGGAACAAGTGAGAATTGCCGTGTTACAGAATTCCTATAAGAGAATGATAAATAAACCAGATCTTCAAGAGGAAACAAAAGCTGGATCTAAATCCTGGAAGAAATTTCTGAGAAGATGCCAGGGGGCATGGTGTGTGTGGTCACAGGCAGCACAGGGCCGTGAATCTGAAGCTCTATAAGACAGAGCTGGACTCTGGACACTGCATAAACAGGTATTTTAATAATGTTGAGACGACAGGCACTGAAATGCTAAGAACTAAGTTTTTTCTACGTTCCTATACGAATTAGCATGGTACAATCATACAGGAGCCACGCTAACACAAGAGACGCTTGTATCTTAAAAGTCAAAGTTAAAGACCATGAAAAGGCAAAGACAAAGTGGAGCGTTCAGGACAAATAAGAGGGACAGGGAGTTTGTATGGTGTTGTACAATGAGCTTAGTAAAAATCCACCCCCATCAGCAAAAAGAAAACAAAACTGCTAAAGCAACCATAACACAAAACCAAACCATGGGACTCAATGAGACTGAAAACTGAAAACTGAAAACACAACCTGATGCCACTGTCCATCTAGACTAAAGTGTCTCCGGGTCACTCATCTAAATTCACACTCCCCCCCCATGTTTGATAGGTGTTTACTAAATATTTCTATGTGCCAGGCACTATGGCAGGCTCTGTGAATTCAGCCTGAATAAGGCAAAGCCTGTGCTCTCGTGAAGCCAACACGCTCGTGGGAGAGGCAGATAACAGACAGTTAACCAGTAACTATATACATCATGTCAGAGAGAAACTGACACTGAGGAAACCACCCAAGATGAGGGGCAGCAAGGCCTGGTGCCGTCCAGACGGGAAGTGCCATGCGATCTGATAGAGGAGGGGTGGGGCACGCAGGAAGGTGGGAAGTGTGTTCTAAGTGGGGAGCCTCAAGCACAGGTGTCCCAGGATGGGGCCTCTCAAGGGGTAGAGTTCAGCAGTAGGAGGCCAGCACAGCTGAGAAGAGGGGTGACAGACACAGTAAGAAATGAGGTCACAGAGGCTGATGTGTGTGTGAGATCAAGGAGGACGTTAGAGGATGTCAGAGTAAACGTCATAGAAAACCAATTCAAGGCTGACATTTTGAAAAGATCTCTGGTTCCATGGTGTAGACAGACTGTGCAGGCACCAGCGGAAGTTAATGCAATCATTGAGGACAGGGCACTAGGGAGGACTCTCCAAGCGATCGGTGGTGCCGAAGCCACAAGGGAAGGAAGAAAAACAGCCCAGAACTGAACCTGGGACACTCCCACCTTCAGCAGGAGGCAAGTGCATGAGGGCCAAAGGACACAGGTTAACAGCCAGCAAGGTGGGAAGACCATTAGGATACTGTGAAGTTAGGAGCCAAGATAATCACCCACTACAACATGACACAGTAGAGCCAGGTAAGTTAAGAAGTTGGAACTAACTACTAAATCTGGCTGCACCAGGGTCATTAAAGAGCTCGACAAATGCCGCTTAGGACAGCTGTCTACCTGGACTGGACTCCAGAGGGAATGGAAGCAAGGAGACCTGGACCGGACTCCAGAGGGAATGGAAGCAAGGAGACCTGGACCGGACTCCAGAGGGAATGGAAGCAAGAAGACCTGGACCGGACTCCAGAGGGAAGGGAAGCAAGGAGACCTGGACCGGACTCCAGAGGGAAGGGAAGCAAGGAGACCTGGACCGGACTCCAGAGGGAAGGGAAGCAAGGAGACCTGGACC